ACAGCCTGGTCTGTGGAAAAATCATCTTCCACAGAACAGGTCCCTCATGCCGCAAAGGTTGGGGACTGCTGGCCTATGTGTATGATAGGACATGTTACTGACATGTGACATTATACACACTACTCTGTGTTGAAGCAAATAAAGCTGACTGTAAGCCTTTCCGAAACAGTACAGATACAGCAACAGGGACATCTAAAAGTCTGCAATCAGGTTCTAAGGGTGGCATACCCACCTTGCCCTTTGTTACAGGAAACTGACCCTGGAGTTGAGTCTGGGAGGTACTGGGAGGTGTCTCAGCAGGAGAGAAGCAGCAGGGACTTGATGTCTTCCTAGATAATACTGTTACTTGGATGGTACCTTTTCTCTTAATGCCCATTTGTGATACCAGTTTGACCCTGGTAGTACCCAATTTCAGACTTTCCCTGCCACCTGTGACTTAGAGTGAGTAGAGAGGCAATTGGGGCACATGCTTTGATCATTTTGAGTGACAGAATCTTCCAGATAAAAACAATATAAAAGAGGAACTGCTCAGGGTCTCGGGAGTGAGGGTCTATAGATCTGTCACTTCCGCAGACAAGGTTTCCATTCTTGGCTGTTTGCTGAGACCTAGGGGGCATTGAGCACTAGGGAATCAGTGATGGTACAGCATTACAGAAAAAGGGCGTCCACCAATGCTCACACAATCTGCAGGGCTCATTTCTTCCTGAGGCAGATGAGTTTTGCTGCACTGATAAGAATCCTTCCAGTGACATAATATGTCACCTCTTGTAGAAGGGTCTAGAGTTTGAGACCATCACATTTGCTTTCTGCCAACCCTTAAGATTTAAGAATGAACCTACATTGTTTATTGGGATGTTCTCAGATTGTAGTGGTAAGATTGGATCTGGGCGGTACCAGTTAGCAGAGAGGGTTGATGTTTTCAAAGAGTCTTTTCCAGCAGCCGCAAACATCTGTGAAAGATACTTCCATCAAAAACAGAGCTTGAAGGCAAAAATAGTGGGTAATTGAAGAGCATCTAGATTTGTCCGTTAAGTGCAACAGCTTCTTCCCTGACTGGTTGTGTCTTGGCTCACTGGGTGTCTAATGCATGAGTAATGTACGTATAATGTATGTGCCACTGCCTAAGAATAAGCAACGTAGACCACAGGTCTTGGGCCCCTTAAATAATTTACATTTTAAATCTGCATCTAGTCAGTGAGGCATCTGAGTCTGCATGTAACATTTATGAATGCAAGTGGAACTTTTATTTCTGTTTTTTTTTCAAAAGCTAAATTGCCTTTATTTGAGTTTTAGTATTCCGATTAATTTAGTTGACATCATTTCAACTTTGTTGGAATAACTACTACTTACAATGAGTCACGTGGGCCCTTGCTATGGTTTAATGAGAGCAATAGAGAAATTCCTCTAGCAAAACAGTACATTTTTAAATAATTTATCCTCATGGGTAGCTGGGAAAACTGGGTCTGTGGCCATGCCTACTGTGCTGGTATCCAAAGCTGGGTGTCCACAATCACAACAGGTCCTCTGTATCTGTGGCACTAGGGCAGACAGAGAGGTCAGTTTCCAACACCGTGGAGGACCACAGGCTCACCTTCCTCAGTGGAGTCAGCATCTCATAAATTAGTCATGCTGGAGCCCTCTCCACAAGCTCCTGGAGGGAGCTAAAGGGAAGAAGGCAAACTCCTTTCTTTTAAATACTGCTGTCTTGTTAAGAACCACTGCCTGGAACTAGGAGGGCAGAGTAAAGACAGAGAAATGCGAAGACTATATTCTGAAAAGTTAAGGAAGCTGTTCTGTGGCTGATAAGAGTGAACAATAATGTTGTGAGTTCTTACAGTGAGCCAGGCACTGTGTTCATCACCTGACATGTACCATCGTCTTTAACTTTTATTGGGAAAACTGAAGGCCAGGTGTGATGGTTCATGCCTTAATCCCAGCACTTCGGGAGTCTGAGGTGGATGGATCACTTAAGACTGGGAATTCGAGACCAGTCTGAGGAACATGGAGAAACCCTGTCTCTACTAAAAATACAAAAATAGCCAGGCATGGTGGCAGGTGCCTGTAATCACAACTGCTCAGGAGTCTGAGGCAGAATTGCTTGAAACTGGGAGGCAGAGGTTGTGGTGAGCGGAGACAGCACCACAGCACTCCAGCCTGAGCAACAAGAGTGAAACTCTGTCTCAAAAGAAAAAAAGGAGAGAGAGAGAAAGGGGGGAGGAGGGGGGAGGGAGGGAGTGGGGGAGGAAGGAAGGAAGGAAGGAAAAAGAAAAAAAGAAGGGAGGAAAGGAGAAAGGAAGAAGGAAAGGCTGAAAACCCTGAGGTTTTCAGGAACCTCATTTCTACCCACTGTCCACCTTAATTCTAACCATTTTCCAGACGAGAAACACACAGTGGCCAAGCCACTTTCCTGCTGTCACAAAGAGTGGGGATTGGAAGCCAAGGAGCCGAAGGCACCCACAGCATCTTTTTGAAACTTGATGCTTTCATGCCTGCCCAAATTCTCTGATTGAGAAATTGTTTTCTAATTCTTATATTTTAAAAACAAAAATAAAAGATTAAATCCAATCAAACGATGGGCTGATATACATGTTGGTTATTCAAACCGTGGGGGCCTCATCCCATAGTGACAGTAGCAGATTTGGAACTCATGAAACCCTCATCCCTTCAACTTCCAACAATACCCCAGCTCCTTCTGATGGAACCCACTATCTCCTTGATTCTTTATGTGATAAACACATACTGAGTAGCTACTCTGTGTTACTCCCTGGACAAGAGCTGAACAAAGTCAAAAACGAGATAGGATATAGTAGACATGTTCATAGTTCTGCTTGGGCAACATTTTTCTCCGCTACTTTTATGCATAGTTTCCAGCTCTGAAAGCTAATGCTACAAAGATAAAAGTTGCATTTGATATATAATGCAATGGAACACTACTCAGCATTGAAAAATGAGAAAATCCTGCTGTTGGCATCAACATGGATGAACATGGAGGATGTTGTGCTAAATGAAATAAGACAGACTCAAAAGGACAAATAGTGCATGATACCACGTATGTGATGAATCTGAAATAGTCACACTCATGGAAGCAGAGTGGAAAAATGGTTGCTAAGGGCCTGGGGGAGGGAGATTGCCATAGCATTAGTCAAAAAGTACAAAGTTTAATTTATACAAGTTCTATTTAGAGTTCCACTTAGCACTGTTTTTCTATAACATTCATGAGAAAAATGGAAAAAAGTGTTTATCAGTCCCTGGGCCTGCCTTCTGTGTGCTCTGCCATTGATGTGACTTAGCTTCTTTCTCTGCATTTACACTGTTTTGTCTTGCTACCTACTTACTCTCTACAAGTTTCAATTCCAAATTCCCAAGAGATATCAATGATTGACTCAACCTTAATCATATGAGTTGGTTCCCCTTTGGGATATAGCCCACCCCTTGCCCAGTAAGACACGGTGCTGTGGCAAGAACACGTGTTCCATAAGCTTGCCCCTCCAGGGCCTCAGGGTTGAGCAGATTAACCTGAAAGGGAAATAGTATGTGTAGCAAATTAGAACAAATTAGAAGTATAATCACCTGTAAATTCATGCTTTATTTTCTTGAGTTTTTTTTTTTTAATTTAGTTCTCTTCCCAAACCTTCTGTAACGTCCAAACCAATAGATCATTTTTGATTGGCTATTGTTCTTTTCTTCCCCTGAAAAATATTCAACTTCTTCTCTCACTCCTTCAAAGATACTTCAAGCTAGGCATGATGGCTCACACCTGTAATCCCAGCACTTTGGGAGGCAGAGGCAGGTGGTTCACCTGAGGTCAGGAGTTCGAGACTAACCTGACCAATATGGGGAAATGCTGTCTCCACTAAATAATACAAAACTAGCCAGCAGTGGTGGTGCATACCTGTAATCCCAGCTACTCGGGAGACTGAGGCAGGAGAATCTCTTGAACCTGGGAGGCAGAGGATGTGGTGAGCCAAAATGGCACTGTTGTACTCCAGCCTGGGCAATAAGAGCAAAACTCCATCTCAAAAAAAAAATGCTTCAAGGAAGGGAGGGCATGCTATCAAGGTATATTTTCCTCCCCTTCTGCAGGGGCTCTACATTTAAGTCAATAGTAGCCCAATGTAAGAAGAAAGGCTATTACCAGCTAACATTTATTGAGTGTTTACTAGGCTATCCACACTGGTCTAAGCACTTTACATGTTAAAATTCATTTATTTTCTACAATGATCTTAAGCAGAATTTCCTTCATTTTCTTATTTGCAAAATGATACTACCTAATATACAAGGAGATGGTGAATTTTGAAAGATAATGTCTCTGCATTTCTTGTTGTTCATAGTACATACCGAATAAACTGTGCCTGGTGATTGCTGTAATGGTATCATCAACTACAACAATGTGTCACAGCTCAATGGCAATGCTGTTTTGTAGTTCCTTAAGAGAGATCACTGATCTGAATCTGACTAAACTGAAGACAGAGAATCAAATGAGGATTCAGATATCCAAAGGGTGATACGTGAATAACAAAAATGGTTAGAGCCACAAGTTGGAATCTGGTGGAATATAGTGCCACCGAGCCAAGATCCCAGAGAGCAGAACTGAGAAATCCATGTCCAGAGAATGTGGTCAGGACCTTGGAGAGCTCACAGTGCTGTCCGGGTCTCTTCCACAGTCTAGATCTCAGACTAGTGCAAAATTCTGCATAGGGCTCCAGCCTTGTAAGGGTCTCATCTTGTTTTATTTGGGGTTCTGGCATAAGTGGAAGCCTGGGTGCCAAAGGGATAGTTCAGAACTGGAATCTTCCGACCTGGATAGAGCAATTGAATTCTTGGTTGCACTAGACAGTGCCTCAGGATCCTTGTTGGAGAATAAGAACTTTGGTCTTCTCATGTCAGCAGATGAGTTCAGCTCTACTACCAGAAAAGAAAAAAAAATAGCAAAATATATAGCAAAAACTTAGCAAACGACACCAACTTCTTTTCTTATGTAGCCCACAGTGAACAAAAGGCAATTGTCTCAATAAGATTCAGGAAAAACACTGGGTTACATTTGGATCCTATGTATTTTTAGATGTTTAATTTCTATTTGCCTATTTCATAAAAGATTGGTAATCACACATAAATCTGCATGAGTAAGAAGACACCTGGGAAGATGAATAGTGCTACAGATGGAAGATTTGAGATAAGGCATATCTTAAGTGAATAGATTGTCTTTTCTCTTAATGAACCTTCAACCTTCATGCCATGTAGATCTGGTGAAGAATGTCTTTGATCTCTGTGCATGAACACCCACATGGAGAGTTTCTGCCTATTTTGGGTAGAAGATACTTAGAAAAAAAACTAATACCAAACTTGGTTCACATGCATCTGAAACGTAGCTAGAAGTGCTGCTCTGCTGTTAGTATAAAGTACCCTGATTATTGTATATTTGGTTAGACTGTGGGGTGGCCAAGAGGGAAGAGGACTTGGATTCTGTCCTGATCTTGTGGCAGGCTGGCAGAGGGACCTTGGACAAGTCTCCTTTTCTCTCTGGGTGTGTCTCCTCATCTGTAATACAAGGAGCATTGGATTAGCTGGTCTGTAAGATTTCTTTCATGATCAGAAGTATAGAGTGAGTATGTGAATGATGAGTGAATTAGTCAACAAATTTCTCCTTATTGCCACATTCCAGGAACAGCCAATGAATTTGCAAAGAGGGGCAAGAAGCAGCATCTACCAGCTGCTTCCTTTTCTGAGGAGCCCTCTCAGAGCCTGATAACATAGGGAAGCATTACTAAATTATGGCTATGTGCAAGTTCACTAACTTTGAGTGGATAGTCATTCTTCTTGGAGGTTTTAAGCAGTCATGGGAACCAGGATGGACTCCTGAGATGGACAACTGCATTTATTTACCTCAAACTCAACATGATAAAAATGCTTTTGAAGCTGTAATTTTACATCTTGAAAAAAGATTAAATTTAAGGCAATGTACAAAGACAAAGAGTGACTTGGAGAAAATGCATTAATTAGATTTGAAATGTTTATAATTTAATGTCAACTAAATTGGTTAAACTGAGGTCTTTTGGAAGTGGTGACAGTTACCCTGTCCCTATCGGTAATCAATATGCTTGATTTGGTGGAAATTTTACATATAACCTTACAAATCCTTTTGACCGAAGTGCAGGTTTCCTCTAGAAAAGACCGGTTTTAGAAAGGCAGGTGTGTGTGTGTGTGTGTGTGTGTGTGTGTGTGTGTGTGTGTACACATAACAGACAGCAAGTCTTCTTGAAAAACAGACCCAGTAGTGCCAAGTAGCATATAACCATCCCCAAACCAAAGCCTCCTGCCCTATTTTCTGCCTTTCCTCTGCTCCTTGCCAGAGCCGACCTACCATCTCTCTAGGTAACTTAGCACCACTGCTCTCCAGAAACTGAAGTGGGACGGGTCGATTTGTTTATTCCACGATGTTACTATGAGTACAAATGCTGGAATCTGAGAGATCCAGGTCTGAATTGCAGTGTCTTCACACCTGCCGGTGTGACTGGGATAAACAAGCTTAACCATTAGTTTCTTTTTCTGCAAAATGGGGATGTGGAACCATCCTCACAGAGCAGTTATGAGGCTGAATGAAGTCAAATATGTGAAATGATTAGCACCAGGCCTGGTGTTTTACGAGTAAGTGAGCAATATCTGAGAGGCGCTGCTAGTATCAGCAGTACCGTTGGTATTTATCAGGTGCCTTCTGTGTGGTGGACACCATGTGACTCCCCAGAGATGCAAACTGGACCAAGTCTGTACTTTCAAGTGGTTCAAAATCTAGAGGGGAAAATTGGCAGGCAAGCAACTAATCAGGGAACGACTGGGTAAGTGATGTGATAACAAGGCATTAGCAGAAACCCAGACAAGGGGAAGAAAGGAGGGGAGGGGCTGCTTCTTGAAAAAGGTGACATATGGGATGAATTTTTGTGTGTGTGAGATGGAATCTCACTGTCACGCAGGCTGGAGAGCAATGGTGCAGTATCAGTCTCTTGGGTTCAAGTGATTCTCCTGCCTCAGCCTCCCGAATAGCTGGGATTACAGGCCCCTGTCACCACACCCAGCTAATTTTTGTATTTTTAGTAGAGATGGAGTTTCACCATGTTATCCAGACTGGTCTCAAACTCCTGACCACAGTTGATCCACCACCTTGGCCTCCCAAAGTGCTGGGGTTACAGACATGAGCCACTGCACCCAGGAGGGATGAATCTTAAGCCAAGTGGCAAAAAGGTAAGAATATTGCCTGACACATTGAGGGATCAGGGATAGTCTGTACAGAAGCCAGAGTGAAGAGTGTGGAAGTCACTGAAAGGCAGCCCTCCTCTGCCCTGGCTCCACAGTACCCATGTCCACCACATAACAATTATCTGAGTCATGCAGTAAGTGCTGTAATCTGTTTTTTCCAGTTCGAAGTAGTCTTGTTCATACAAATGAAATACCAAACAGGGCCACCATGGGAGAGGGAACATCCCATTTATGTCTTGCTCGTCAGTGCTTTTGAGACTCCCCATGCATCTCTTCCCTGCCCCACACCTGCCAGGTATGTGGGATCTCTTGCATGTTTGCAGGTCTTCGGTACTCTTCAGTCCCAGTGATCCTTCTCAGACCCTTGTCCTCTAGAAAAGCAGTTAGATCTGGACCAGGCTTTCTCTGTTTCTGGCTAAAATTTTCTTCCTCATAGTATCCTGACCCCAGACTCCTGCTGGTTGCCATCAGTAGAGCTGTCGAAGCCCTCATCTCCACTACAGGCCTGGCCCACTCTCTCCAGCCTTGGCAACCCTGACACCAGAGCCCCCTTGGGATTTCCATCTTTCTTCCACTGTTCTTTTTTTTTTTTTCTTTCTCAGTTGCAGAGGTTTTCAGAAGGACTGATTACCCGGTCTCTTCTTTCCCCAAGAGTGCTTCTTTGTCACAAATGATTCCACTCCTTGAGGACATTTGGTGACATTTAATTCATCTCCTGTTCTCTGCTTGGATGAATTCTCTGAACTCCCTGAGAGGAAGGACGAGGCAGTGGAACATCTGAGAGATGCAATCTTTACGTGGCGGGTGAAGATGATGGATTTTCATCTCCTTCCTCATGCTTTTTCCCACTGCACGAGCACTTCTAGGCATTCTCCTTTCTCCTCCCTGCTTTTAACTGATTTATTCTTTTCTGACTTATGACTTTTCTTTTTCACATGTAGCTTCCTGATCTTTCTTCTTTGGGCACACACCTCTCATGCTATAGCATTTGCACTCTATTGCATATTGTTTAAGACTGGGACCCAGTTGAGTTTTAAAGCAGGTGTGAGAAGCTTTGCAAGGCTACAAAACTGTGTTCATCCCTCTCTTGACTTGGACTATGGAAGTTGCCACCTGCTAAGATGCCCTGAATGGTGTGCCGGGCTCTCAATTGGCCTGACAGTACCACAGTGCTCTTCCAATTTCTTGGGGATGTCCAGGCATTTGATAATAGCAGCCTTGTTACCTGCGCCTCTGCTTGCAGTGGAGGTAAGAGTCAGCATTGTTCCCTTGCACCCACCCTGTTGGAAAGGGAAAGACTGTTCTTCCCTTTCTTTAACTTTATACACCTCAATGCATAAAGAATATCTGTCCTTTTCCCCCCATGGGGCAGTGGTGGCCTGCTGGGATGGGAGCTCCAGCTTCTTTGTCATTCCCTCACTCCTTTTATAGGAAGACAAGTAGCTAAATGATTGTGGGAAACTGACATTTCCAGCCACATTTATTGTTAGGTAAGGTCCCTAGCTCTCAAAGGCAGCACCCCACCTCCATTCTCCTTTCTCCCTCTTCCACTGTCTCCATCCAGGTGCAGCAAGCCCTTTTGTGCTTCCTGTTCTCTGGACCCCCACATGCCCTGAGCAGGCATGGATTTGCCCTCTTTGTACATCTGATAAGGCTGGGCAGAACATCAGGTGGGAGGTCCAATCAGTCGCAGGGAAAGCCCTGCTCTCTAGCTCACTTTATGACAGCCCTCTGCCCTCAGGGTTGTCATCACCTGCTCAGATAATAATCTCGCTCATCGCTTCTCATCTGCCTGGTGTTCCTTGCATGTTACTTCCAGAGGCAGAATCCCAGAGAAGAGAGAAAGCTCTGAGCTCCTGATCACTCCTCCAGAAAAGCTCTGCAACCAAGGAAATTAAGAACAGTGGAAGAGAAATGCTCTCTTATTCTCACCCTCATCCCTCACTTATCCTTTCTCCACTTCCCCACATTCCCTCCATCCCTGGGAGATTTACTCACCTGCCACTCCCTGTGTGTCATACAATTCCAGGCTCTGTGCTCCTTGCCTGCCTGCACCTGAAAGGCCTTACAGTTTTCCCCATTTGCCATCCAGCCAACCCCTACTTGTTCATAACTCAGATTCAGCATCCCCTCTTGCGGGAGATCCCTGACTCCCCAGCCGGGCTTAGCTGCCATTCTTCTCAGCTTTCCCAGTGCCCAGTCATGGCTCTCATCACTGTATTCTCTAAAACCATTGACTTCTTCCCCTTCCCAAGCAGTCTGGGAGTCTGTAGAAAAAGATGCCGTATCAATCTAACGTTGTATTCCTGGTTCTCGGCACATAGTAGGGGAACTCATAGAGACTAGAGAGGAACCAGAGATAAATGAGTGCCCCTTGAATCCTGGGTGTGCCTATAAAATAGGGAACATCTAAATGTACAAGTTGTAGGCAGGGAAACTGAGGCACAAGAAGAGTCGCTTGCATAAGACTTAGCTAGTAAACGGCAGAGCTGGTGCATGTGAAAATTTCTAAGGCAGAAATATGTACTTATTTAAAAGTTTTTTTAAAAAGCAAGAAAATGTCCAGGCACAAGTTTTAACCCTGTAAATTCTGTTGCCTCCACCTGCAACCAAAGCCCCAGTTCATTGCATCCTACACAGAGTGCTGCCCACATTCACCTGGGTGATCACAGCTTATACACCTTGTTACTTCACCTCCAAACCCAGCTCACCAGCAGGCGGGGATGCTCACCAACTGTCCCGTTAGCAGAGCTTCCCTTTTAAATCAAATTCTCTCCTCCTCCCAAGCTCATCTCAAAGGCATCCATTGGTCTGAATACATGTGCTGGTGGAACGAAATGAAACTCACCCCAAAACAAAAGAAGAAAAAAAGCCAATCCGATGCAAAATCTATCTGCATTTCAGAAGCTGTCAAGATGAAAAATGAAGCCACGAGTTTGGCCTTTAAAAATATTAATTTCTTATAAAGATGAACTGGAGAGTGGTAACTAGAAAATTCCCTTATCTCTTAGGAAGAACCAACAGGATGAAATTCTGATCCTTCTGGAGCCTTACATGTCATTTCCAAATTCAACCATTACTTGTTCACGGTTCATTTATGAGGTTTCTGAGCATAATGAATGTCCGTACGTGTCACTGAGTTATTGATGAATCGTTGTTTCTATTCTGAGCTCATCATGTTGTTCAGTGTGCTTTGGCCTTGCTGTCACTTCAGGGGGTGATAGTTAACCCAATGGAGCAAATCTGAGCAACTCCTGAATGGTGGCAGGGATTTGGGCTCAATGAAGGGCACCCGCAATAAATGCCTCCTTGCTAGTAGATGGGAAGAACTGAGAAGACAGAGGGGAGATTGCATGCATTCTGCTGGCATCTGCAACATCTCTAGCATATGTCTTTTCCAGCAGTTGTGAAGGATCCTCACTCTCCCTTTCCTCCCTTGGTCCCATTCCATCTCCAGAGCTCCTTGTGATCAGCTCCCAAAGCCACTCATTGGTCTGTTCCTTCAGGGCCTCTGTCTACTTCTTGCCCTCACCTCTCTTTCCTGGACCATTGCAGAGTCTCAGAACTGCCTCTCTGCTCCCAAATCCATCCATTCACCTACTGCCTCCTGAACATTCTTTTCTGAAACAGTCTCCTCTGCTTGAAACTAATAATGGCTCCATCTTGCCTAGTGCAGCAACTTTAAATTCCTTAGAATCTTGCCCCAAACCACTGCCTCCTCTCCTTTTTCTCCTTCTGAATACTGTAGATTCCTGCCAAATATGTTATTCCACAAATCTTATGAGGACCTTGCCTGCCTTCTGTCCTTTGCACATGCTCTTCCTTCAGACCGTGCTCTCTTCCTTCCCTCGTCCACCCGGGAGACTCCTGCAGATCCTCCCCTGCCTCTCCCAAGTGGAACCAGCTGCACGCTGCACTCCACCATGGTGGTGTGTACAGTACATGTGGCCACCAGTTGATTGACAGATTGTCCCTTTAAGCCAGTTTGCTCAGGGTCCTCTCTGAAGAAACAGTGTGTTCCCCTTCCTTGGGGAGTAACTTTACACAAGGTGCAAGGGGTTGTGGGCTGTAGCCTTGATGCTATTGTTTCTTTGGAAATTATTCTAAAAAATATTTAGATGAATGAAATAATATGTTTATTAAAAACACATTTTTCTATTTTTTTCTAAAAGTGTCTTATACAATTTCCATCAGGATTAATGGAGAAAACTCCTCCAGATTCCTACTCATTTTCTTCCCATGATAACAAAATCTCTCTCCTCTGGTCACAATGACATAGGACATGGGCTCAGAGATGTCCAGGCACCTGGCTCTCTGCCCGTCTGCCTCTCTGGAGGAGCCAGTGGTTTTTAACTGATCATCATTCTTTCCATTTCTCGGACTCAAGGTCCCTGTTCCTGTGTAGCCCATCTTTGCTTACAAAATGGGAAGATTCTCTATTGCTGGCCAGAAAGCAAAGCAAAGGAACCTGAGCACACAGGATTCAACTCACGCTGTTGATTTTATGAGTACAGGTCTTGCGTTGTAGATGCCAGACAGAGCATCCACTTCCCCCAGTGGCCACAAAACTACTTTGAGAACTAGCTGAAGAGCCACATGGGGTCTTCTCTGTCTGTTCACCCCACCTTCTAAAATCTCCACCTTTCACGGCTTGCCCGTGATGGCATTTGTCTCAGAGACTTGACTGTGTCTCCCCAACAAGATGACGATGCTGTCTGCCATTGAACCCAACCCTTTCTGAGTTCTGATCATGTTCCTGTACCAGGCAGTGAGAATGGCAAGCCAAGGAAAAACATACTGTTGCCCTCACCACACTCATGGTCCAGTGCGGAACAGCCTCACTGCTTTACTGGGCTGCTGTGGGAAGGAGCTAGCACAGGGTATGCAGCCGCCGGAAAAGACGGCTGGGGAGCGCAACAGCAGGAGACAGTCCACCCTAGAACTCCCAAAGGTTCTTTCTCGTTCTTTTATGTGCATATATATTTACAGGTGTGTATATATTTTATATCTATATAATATATATTATAAATATAAATTTATTATTTATAATATATAAAATTATATATTATATGAATTTTATATATTCATATTACATATAAATTACATGTTTATTACATATATAAATTTATCATTTTATTATAATACAGTATTATATATTATACATATAAATTCATATATTACATATATTTATATATTATGTATATAAATTATATATGTCTATATATAATATATATTACATATATAAATTTGTATGTATATATATATTTTATCCATATATATATCTTATGCATATATATATCTTATCCATATATATATATATATATCTTATCCATATATATATATATATAAATAAAACCTGGCCCCACCCAAGGGCCAGAATATAAATTAAATATTACATATATAAATTTTTATATATATATGTACATATATATGTCTCACCCATATATATAAATATATATATAAAAAACCTTCTGGCCCACCCCACCTGAGGGCCAGCACCTGAAGCTAAACATTCAAAAGCAGAGGCACTGCATTCTTCCCCAGTGCGAGGGAACCAAACTCACCAAAGAAAACCGGACCAGACCATGCTGACCTGCACAGATTTCCACAAACATGGTAAAAGCCCTTTTCACTTAGTGTCATTGCCAAAGTATTAGGGAGTATTTCCAGATGGAAGTCTTCACCCAGTTGTCTCCATATGGATCATCTACATCATTTTACTACTGAGAAAGCAGCCTAAATACTTTATCTGCAGGAGAACAGAAAGGTGGAAAACGGTCACATGAGGGACAGTGAGAACAGCTTGCTGACAAAAGCACAGTAGACAGCTGCGTCCTGGAGGCGGCTCTAACCGTCTTCTTTTCATTTGTCTCAGCTCGATGTTGGGCCAAGTTTTTACATCTTTTTAAAAAACCCAGCCCTTAAAGCAATAAGATAGTGATCAGTTAAATTATCTGCGTAATGAATTAGACTAATAGAATCTAAGTTTAAGCGAGTTTGGAAGCATGATCTTGAACATGAGGTAAGAGGCCCTGAGTTAGTACTTCCAGGTAACGGTGACCATACACTTTTCCCATACCAGATAATCAAGAAATATTGGGTCTGCCACTTCTTAATGTGAGGCTGGCATGTGCTGTGAGAATTCAGCACAGGCAGTTTGCTCCTGAGAAGGACCAAGGGTAAAGTTAATTCTCCCTTTTTCCTTCAAACTATAACTCGCCCCTTAATTACTCCCTCTCTCGTCTTCCCAAACTGCATTTTCTTTTCCCCTATGCCCTGTGATTTGTCTCAATTCCATCCAGCAAGGTGCCTGAGCTAGAAACTAGCTACCAGGCTGGCGCCTCGTGCCCCTCACTCCTCATGTGAAACGTGCACTCCGGCCACAGAGCTAAGCAGTTGCTCCACATGGGTACAGGTCCTGGTTCTGTCACTTCCTCTGGACTAACTAGGGGAAGTCCCCTAGTTCTATGTAGGGGACTCAGAATGTAAGTCCCCTAACATTCTGAGCCTCAGTGTTCTCTCATCTATGAAGTGGGTCAGATGGTGACACTCATGTCACAGGATGCAGTGAGTCAAATAGAAGTAATGTCCAGAAAACTCAGAAATCCTGACATGTGTTAAGTGATCAGTAGATGTTATTTATTTTCACAGTCATCATCAAAACCCTAATTGATAACTGGGTATTTTTTATTACACTTTTTTTTTTTTTGAGACTGCGTTTTGCTGTTGTTGCCCAGGCTGGAGTGCAGTGGAGTGATCTCAGCTCCCTGCCACCTCCGCCTCCTGGGTTCATGCGATTCTCATGCCTCAGCCTCCTGCGTAGCTGGGAAGAGATGGGGCTTCACCATGTTAGTCAGGCTGCTCTCAAACTCCTGACCTCAGCTGATCTGATCCACCCACTTTGGTCTCCCAAAGTTCTGGGATTACAGGTGTGAGCCACCACACCGGCCTTTTAGTCTTCTTTCTAAGACTGTCTTTCATTCCTCACCTACTCTCCCTCCTGGACCATCTCATCTCACCTGGATGGATATACTGTCAGTGTCAGCTTAGCCTCTTAAGTACCAAGCACAGTGCCTGGCACCTCATGGCACCAAAATAAATCCCTGATCCATTGAGTTGAATATTCTAGCCCCTCGCTCACCAATTAATCGATGTTATTCCTTGCCACTTCTGGGACATGGGCAAAGGAAAAGCTATTGAACATGTATAATAGCCAAACATGGCATTCTTGATATGGAAAAATTCAGAACAGACTCAAAATACGCTTTGGAAATTCAAATCATCCGTCATTTCTCCTATAAATTTCAGTAATCATTTCTGTTTGGTTTGTTTTAAGGATTTGAAGCATTTAAAATTTAAATGTGAGAAAGTTATACCTTTTCTTTTGTTTTATTTCCTGGTACTATGACCAATGAGGCAAAGAATCCAAACTCATTAAGTTTTACACATAAAGGATTGAAATGCATACAGTACTTACAGAGAGCACGGGCTGAGTGATGAAGCTCTCTTTTTAGGCCTTGAACATGTTGACACACTCAATATTTTTCATCCACAGAATATTGTAAGAACATCGTCTCACACCATGGAACATTAATATTATTTTTATGACTGTGCACAATGCAATGACACATTGCTGAGCCGCTGAGAAATTTAAAGAATAAAAAAGATTTAGACACTGAAAAAACCTTGAATCATTGAATTTGGGGAGGTAGGGAGGAAGGTTGGAGTATGCCTAGGAGCTGATTATGTGGCTTCCATCAAATGAACTAGAGGCAAACTGTATGTGTTTTCAGTGGCTCGATCCTTGGGTTTAGTAGTAGTGCGTGTGGGTCAGTTCTGCATAGTCAGCATTCGGTGGTGGGTCAGGACGCCAATGAGGTCATCAATAAAAATAGAATGATGGTCTATCAGCATGGAGATGACACTGAACCTGAAGGTATGGAAGCTGCTAGAGGAAGGACAGTGACCAGCAATTGTGGCACATGCTCCCTCTGCCCTGTTTCATGCCCACGGTAGACATCACTAATCAATGGTGGCACTTTTGAGTCCAGATGTAACCTCGGGATCCTACTTAACACAGGGGCCTAGAACATAGTTGCCGTAACTAATCCAGTTTGCTATATAAAATGAAACCTAACATTCCTAAAAAATTTTTTTAAATAAAATAAAAACAAAGGTAGAAGGAAGCCCATGTTTTGTAAATGAGGCTGCATTTTTAAAATGTAGGTAACTCTTTGCTTATCACCCTGCAGATTCTTTAATGGCATAAAAGTCAGGCTTGCTTAAGTGCTGTAGTTCTTTATCAAATCAGTACACTTATTCATTTGGTAACTATTGAACACCTACTATGTGACAGTCATATACATGCTAATTAGTTGCTGTCCCCTTGTCTTGGCAGTTCTCAGCACTGAACCTTGGTACAGGGAAGCCTGGACTATCTTTCCCTAGATTTCAGTGAATTGGGTCACAGGGATTTAAAGAGGAGATGAGGATCCCCAGATACCCTTGGAGATACAAAGGTATCTCCAAGCCGCTCTTTTCCCAAGGCAGTCCATAAGCCCTGTGCCCCTCAATCTTCCCAGCTGTGAAATGGGCAGCTGCTGATACAAACCCTGAAGCATTGTCATGAGATTCAGATGAGGGAGAAGAGTGCCTGGGTCGTAGAATATACTCTGGAAATGGCAACAGATATTGTCATTATCTAATGTTGCTATTGTCATGATTTTTTGTCTCAGTGCACACCCTTGATGCATCAGACGGGAGCATCCCACTCTCTATTCACAGAAGCTGTGCTTATGCCCTTGAGCTTGCCTCCAAAGTCTAGAGCCTCAGTGTCGGCCTGATTATTGATGCATTTGACTTCCCAGCTCCAAGCAGGGAGAGCCCTCCAGGTCCTCAATGGTGGCGTTCTCTTGGGAACCTGTGCCTCAGAAACACTGGTGAGGAAAAGCAGCTGTGACCCCAGGCTGAGAACCACATAGCTTCATCTGGATAGGATGTGCCACTTATATTTGCTGCTCTGAGATCAGACCCAGGCTCCATTCTTAGCCTCATCACTTACCAACCACACAACTGTGAGTTACTTCAGCTCTTCTTTGCTCAGTTTCCTCCTCTGTGTCATAGGGATGGCATTCCATGCCTGTGATTCACTGTGGGTCTTAACAGATCCATCCCTCTTTCCCCCTCCCAGTTCAGTGGTAGCTTCACAAATCGCCACCAAGTCATGCCAGATCCCGTTAAGATTCCAATGGAATGACAACCTTCTATGAAACAACGATTTCATATATACCTTCTGGGGGGTCACAGAGCTCCAGAATTTACTCCCTGCAATGTCCATCAACTCCGCTTTTAAAACTCCAACCCGTGAAGAGTAAGTTTTTAGGGGAACAATGTGTAATACTCAAAAGAAATGAAAACACATACCCACAAAAAAAATCCTGAACATGAATACTAATAGCAAAATTATGAAAATAACTAAAAGGTGGAAACAACCCAAATGCCCATTCACTAATGAATACATAACTAGAATGGGTCTGTCCATACAAGAGAATATTCTTTGGCCATAAAAATGAATGAAGCACTGAGAGATAACGTATTTTTGTTGCTGAAGCCTCCTGGCTTGTGGACCTTTGTTCCGGCAGCCATGGAAAATGAATGCACGTGGTGACTGCTGATAGGTACGGAATTTTTCTTTGGGGTGATGAAAATGTTCTAAAATCAATTATGGTGATGGTTGCACGACTCTAAATATGCTAAAAACCATTGGATTTGTACATTTTAAATAGGTGAATCATGCCGTATGTGAATTACATCTCAGTAAAGCTGTTACCAAAGGAAAAGGAAAAGACAAGTGTCCCACAATATAGGCAGGATCTTATCAAGTCCACCTCCTGGTTTAGTGACCCTCGCAGGCATCCTCTTCCTCTCAGGAGACCGATCTATAGATCTGCAAGACCTGCACTGTCTGGCACGTCTCTCTCCATTCCCTGCTCATACCACATCTCCCTCCCACTGTGCCCCCCAACCTGGGGTTTCTGTGTTCACCTGCATCCATCCCAGGGCCTTTGCACATGCTGTTCATGACCTGGAGTTCTCTTCCTTCTCGCCCTGTGCCATTGCCCTCGTTACCTCTTAACCTCCCTTCAGATTTTAGCTCAACCATCAATCCGTTGAGAGCCTTCCTGGTCTCTGAGAGATGTTCCAGTTCTTCTTGGAGGTGCTTTCATAGCACCCAAGCCTCTTCTTTAGCTCTCATTTCACCTTTAGAACATAACATAAACTCATATGATTAATATCTGCCTCCCATGCTGGGTAGTAATCATTTATGTAAGAGCAAGGTCCCGGACTACTTCACTCACCTTTGTAGCCCCAGAAACTAGCACATAGTAGGCTCTTTATTGTATTTCTTTAAGTGATGTAAAATTCACATAACATAAAACTAACCATGTTAAAGTGAACAATTCAGTGACATTTAGTACATTCCTGATGTTGTACAGCCATCACCTCTAGCTGGTCCTAAAATATTTTTATCATCCCAATAGGAAACTCCAGACCCATTAAGAAGTCTTTCCTGCTTCTTCCTCCCCAACCCCAGTCCCTGGAGAAAAACAACCTGCTTTCTGTCCCTATGGACTTATCCATTCTGGACATTCCATATAAATGAAGTCATTCAATATGTGACATTTTCATGTCTGGGGTTTTTGACTTAGCGTAATGTTTTCAAGGTTCTTCCATGTTGTAGCATGCATCAGTATTTCATTCCTTTTTAGCTGAATGATATTTCCTTGTCTGGATAGACCACATTGTGTTCATCCATCCATCCACTGATGGGCATTCGGCACTGTTTCTACCTTCTGGTTAATGTGCCGTGCTATGAACATGTGTGTACATGTATCTGTTCGAGTGCCTGTTTTCAATTCTTTGGAATATACACCTTGAAGCAGTAGCTGCGTGTTTCACTTTTTGGGGAACCCTCATATTAGCACCCTATGTGGTATTACACATAGCAGTGATACCATTTTATATGCTAACCAGCAGTACACAAGGGTTCCCATTTCTCCACATCCCACCAGACCCTGCTATATTCTGTTGTGCCAATTTTTTATACTGGCCATTCTAGTAGCTATGAGGTGCTGTCTCATAGTTTTGACTTGCATTTCTCTAATGATTGGTGATATTGAGTGTTTTTTCATACGTTCATTGGCCATTTGTATATCTTCTTTGGAGAAATGTTGATTCAAGTCTTTTGCCTACATTTAAATGTTGTGGTTGAGTTTTAAGTGTTCCCTACATGTTCTGGGCAGTAGACCCTTATCAGATGTATGATTTGCTGAATATTTTTATTCCATTCTGTAGGTTGTCTTTTCACTGTCTTTATCATGTCCACTTCATTGTATTTTTAACAAACTAAATTAACAAGTCCAGTGGCAGGCATAGGTGACATTTTTGGGCAAAACATTCAAGGGCTCCC